AAAAAAGATGAAATTTTATGTGTGGAAGATGATTTTTATATTTATTTCTGTGATTGCTTCTGATAGCCTTTAAAAGAACGCCAGAGAAGTCCTGTTGTAGGGAATGAGTGGAGGTCTTTGTGAGCGAATAGGTCTTCAGTGTTTGTTAATCATCCTTTCAAGGCCTGTTAAGTCTGTCTGTCCTTCAGCTCTGCTCTTGGGTGACTGGTTCTGGTCATTTGGTGCTTCCCTCCCTTGCTACTGCTTTTCCTCAGCTGTGGGATAATTCTGGACCATGGGCCTCTCTCTGCATATCAGGTACCCTGTTAGCCTGTCTGTGGCTGCTGCTTCTGTTGATGTCATGTACCCAAAATGCAGCAATGAGCTTCATTCAAGGCTTTTGAAGCACTCAGCACCTTGGAGTGATTCTATTCCTGTGGGGGCTGCCACAAGGAGGATGGCTCCCAGAAATAATAGTATTTTACAACTGAGATCTGGAGATCCAGAGCCCAAACTCACACAACACTAGCACCTGCCCATGGGGCCTTCAGGCCAACAATCCTGCTACCAACCTAGTCCCCAATAACCAGAAAGCGCTGGATGTTTAAGCCTTTTTCTCCTTTTATTCTTTAAAAAAATAAGGATAATAATAACCTTTACAGTAAATTCTAGAAAGTGGTGGGTTTGGATCTCTCCACACCTCTGAACATAATTTTACATTTCTCAGATACCATCCTTCCCATAGTATGCCAGATGATAATCCCTGGGAGACGGAGGAAGCCCCCCAGATAGGAGGAGCCCCAATTCTGGAGCCCTGGGGCAGAGGGAGAGGGGGCTTCTAGCTGGCCTCAGTCAGCTTGGTCTCGCAGACCCAGCGGTAGGGCCTCTGGCAGACATTGTCATTCCACTCGCCATTCGCAGTGAAGTGAGCACAATCCTCGCCTCCGCCCAGGTTGTGCCCCTCCCAGTTGTCCGGCTGTTCTGGACTCCAGTTCCTAAGGACACAGAACAGGGATGGGCTCCGAGAGATCCACCCTTCCCTAAGTCCCTGGGGGGCCCAGGGCACCTGCCAGGC